GAGGAGGAGGGAGGAGGGAGGAGGAGGAGGAGGTGGGAGGAGGAGGAGGAGGAGGAGGAGGAGGAGGAGGAGGAGGAGGAGGAGGATTGAGGAGGAGGAGGGAGGAGGAGGAAGGAGGAGGAGGAGGAGGATTGAGGAGGAGGAGGGAGGAGGAGGATTGAGGAGGACCACGCAGTTGACCGTTGGTCAGTCTAAAAAGAGAGGTAGCCTGCCCTTGGATTAAGGGAGGCAGACAGGTAGGGAAGCTAGACTTCCCCTCTTGTGAATTTGGCAAGATAGGCCGACCCTGACGAAGTGGCCTTCTTGCATTCTTTGAAGAGATTCTGACCCGCTCTTATGGCGTGGGAGCCGCAGGTCAGGCATATGTAGGTACCCTTGGCAGACATGACCATATCATGAGACGGGTCAACGTACCTGGCACCGATGTACACATTGTGGAGAGACCTCGCTCCCTCAAATCCTGAACAGGGTTTCGCAGGAACACACGGGGAGGCAAGAAACTCCTGGGACGGAATATTTCCGTGCGAGTTAACAGAAATGACCGAACAACACGAATTGCAAACAAGCCTCGAATCAGGGCCCTCTCCTACAGGAATCATATTGTGTGCCGACTCCCTAAGCTGCTTGGCTAACTTGGGGCGAGGGTTGAAGGCTCGAGGAGGAGGAGGAGGGACGGCTGGTTTCGGCTTGGCTTTGGCTTTCTTGCGAGCTCTAGGGGCCTGGGGATTGTCTCCAGAGGCCTCCGAACATCTCGAGAGGAAAACTTCACAAACCCGAATTCTCACAGCACGCGTCAAGGCCTCAGAAATCTGGACCGCCTCCACCTCCCCCGCCTGCAGCTGTATGTTCTTGGCCGTGTGCTCGGCCAACTCATCAGCTGCCTTGTTCCCAACCCAAGCAAAGACAAGCTCCCTTTTCTCTGCAGCCTGCTCGGGAGTCATGTGCGACTCGATCTTGATGATGACGGTCGGCTTCTCTTGAAGAAGCCGCTGAATTCGACGCCACTCGTTCCTAAATCCAGTAGGGAAGAAATCCAAGAGGACCTTATTGACGTTTTTCTGGACATACGACGAGTCCGTGACGAAGACGAGTAGTCGGCCCACAGGGGCCTCCTCCAGGAACCTCAAGAGCGCTATCATCTCGCCATGATTGATGGTCTGGGGTCCCCATGTGGCTCCCGAGGACACCCTTGACAAGGCCAGGGACGGAGCTGGGTTTGCTAAATCGAACTCCTCGAAGACGACATAAGCCCAAGACACTCTCCTGAATCTGGCCTGATCCGACTATTTACCCCCTGAGGCATCACCTGCACCGACGATCAGGTCTGTGCCGTCGGGAAAGAAGCCGTGGCTGTGCACAAAAATGTCAGCCTCGTCGGGCGGCTGCGAAACTTGTGTCCACGAAGAAGGAGTGAGGCCTCGAAGCCACACTGACGGCTGTGAATCCACCTGGGTGCGAGCACGGTGCACAACGGCCTCGATGCTGGTGGTCGAGGGCAAGGCGTCGTTCGCGGAACATTCCCAAATTCGGTGGAAGGTAGACTCTGGTCGTCCACCATCACAGCGATCACAAAGAACAGAAAAGTCAGGCGGGTTGATGATGCTTTGAATTCTCTCCCTAGCCCACTGACCACCACAGCACACGTTGACTAAAGCTCCTGCCCACTTAAGCTGGTCTTTATCTCTAGCTCGTCGTAGCTGCTGTCGTACATCAGTTAGGTCTACTCCGTTAGCAACATCTGCGCCCTCATAATGTTTTGCTGCTCGCTTCCAAAGAACCCGACGAACTGAATCGGCTAGGTCTTGGCGGATATCATCTAGATCTAGTGGACCTGCTTCAAGGACCTCTGGAGTAGCCTGATAGACGTTCCCAAGATCAGAAACCCAATGCCAAGGTCCAATGGGGTCCCAGTTGATGTCCAGAAGGGTGTTTACTACAGCTCTGGTGGGGCCTGTGATTCTGCGCCATCGATGCTTAGGAATCTCTCTAGCCTTAGCCACGTGCTGCGACCAATCTCGTGCTGCAAAAGCTCGTGCTTCAGCTCCTGACGCAAGAATGGCCATCCAGCTGTCGAGCATCTTAAATACCTGCGAGATTGCTGGATCTTGATCTCCAAGCTCCAGCTGTAAAAGAGTGTCGAGGCACCGGCCACGGACCGACAAAGTGAAAGTGCCTCCTATAGCTCTGCGCCAAGCCTGCACTGCAGAAGGACTCATACCATACACAGCTGCATCATACTGAACTTTTGCATAACATCCTCGATGTATCACGCGCCGTGCTGCTGTTCTGCCTGTTCTGCCTGCTCCAATAAGCTTCCGAGCTCGGCCTACTTGCTTCCATGCTGCTTTGCGACGTGCTGCTGCTTTAGGTCGTGCTCGCATGTTCGTGCCTCTGTCTGTGCCTAGATCGACTGCTTTCTGTGCTACAGTGATCTTAATGTTGTGCTGTGCCAACTTGCGCGCAATGTCCTTTGCTAAGCCAGGGTCCCCCGCGATGATCTTGCTCTTGCTTGCGATACTCAAGTGCGCCTTGTTGCAGAGCCTGCCCAAGAGAACCCCAGCCTTGGTGAGCGCCTGGGAGAGGAACCTGACGGACCCGTACGCATACTGAGTGATATCATCAACCCAAGACGACGTGCTGACCGACGGTGAGTATTTGTTGTACACAGCTTCAAGGATACTGTAGAGATAAAATCTTCCAAAATCGACCCCTCTACGAGCTCCTGCGATGATGGACTTGTTGGCCTGGACTGGTGGTGAAAAGCACCCTGCTTCGCGAAAAACTCTAACTATGAGATGAGCCAGCCCTTCCATCAGCAACATCAAAGGCGGAAAATCCAGGGCCAAGCCCTGCTCGAACAGGCGCTCGTACTCTAACGAGTCGTAGAAGCTGTCGATGTCCCACAGAAGACTAGCCGAGACGGTGTGCTTGGGCCCCATGCTGACGGCTTCGTCAGAGAAGGCTCGTAAAAGTCCAACACGCAAGCAAGAAGAACCTCTGATCGCATTGTCCCACTTGCCAGCCATCTGCTCGACCCATTCAGAAGGAAAAATCTGTCTGGCTGAACTCCACAAGCGTATCAGATCTGGGATCAGACCAATTGAACGATCAGTGTCCGCGCCTTTCCTCAAAAGTGCAACAATAGCAGTCTGAATCTGCCAAGGCCAGCCTCCTCGTCGTTCGCATTCATTCAAAAACCCCGTCAAGTGAGCAATGCCAGCTGGAGGTAAATACTTGAGGGTGCCGCCCAGCTGCTCGATGCCTGCGGCCTTGCTGGAGTTGATCTGCTTGACGGTGATGGCGATCTGCTCAGGCTCCAGAGCTGGCCAGGGTTGTGCTGCTGCCTTAGCGCGTGCCCGTCGAAGGAGTTGAAACAGCCTTTGCACTGACAAGATTTTGGATGCCCACTTACGTTGCCAAAGCTGACTCTTCTGGACCAAAATATCCTTGAGGCTCGTGGAACTTCCTTTCAGGTCGCGGTACTCTGTCTCAACACGCGTCTTGGGCTTCGCGTACCGATGCAACTTCCCACAGCCTTGAGCAAAATAATCTCAAATCCACGATTGAAAAGCGCTGTAACTCTCCTTGGCCGCCTTGCGCTCCAGAGCTGCTGCGATCTTATCCGCTGATGCTCCCATCGTAATGAGAGCTTCTCTCGGTAGATTGTGAATGTTAAGAAGTGTACTGGCCCAGTCCTGCCGATCTCTACCTATTACCTGGCCGAAACCTGAAAGTGGCATGTCAGCAGGAGCCTGTGCCAACCTATGCACCAAGAAGTCTTTTCTCGATGCTGTCCTGACTTTTTTTTTTTTTTTTTTTTTTTTCCGAAACTGGGCTGAGCAAAACGAGGGGAGGAGGGGAGGAGTCACCACCTGCTGCAGTAGAGAACTCCTCGACGTGCTGCTGGGTTCCACTGGCAAAGACTCGAATAAGCTCCTGAATCCAACCAGAAACTTGCAGCCACCACTTGATTGACATATCTGAATGCGCTCTTGTTGGCGCGGGTGCTGAAATCGGCAAAGGTTTAAATTCCCTCGCAACTCCACGACCTTTGTAATGCCAAGCTCGATCTGGTGGTACCTCAAGTACACGGCGCAGAAAATTCTCAAAAACTGACGTAAATCTTCCGTAGTCTGATCCCAGCTCGATGGCAGTCTCGGGATCGTACTTATACGAGAGGCTGTCTTGTATCCAATCTGGCGGTAGGGTCCACTCACAGTGCTGGAGAGTGTTGTTGTCAATGGTGGTCCAAAGCTTATCCAGATCTTCAACCATCCACTCTGAATACTTGGCTGGTTGGCAGTCCTGAGCTACAGGCTTGACCTCGGAAGTCTTGTGGTCATAAATATGCGACTGCCACATCTGCTGAATCGCCTCGGAGTCGAAGTCGAAAAAATCTCGATGTAGAAACTTGCGAGCCTCCTCTGGGTATTTCGTGCACGTGCTGGCCTGCTGAGGTTGCGCCAAGAAATCCTCGTCTTCAGACTCGGGTTCAGGAAGTTCTTGCTCGAGATCCTCTGGGTGGTCCAGAGCTCGCTGCTGCCGTCGCCGCTCCAACTCCAATTTCTTCCTCGACCGTTTGCTGTTGGGGTCGGCCTTTAACTTGGTGGGCAGCGGTGGCAGGAACATCTTCGGTAAGTCCAAGACTCGACGTGCAGACTGTTGTGCAGAAACATTCAACTCCAAAATCATGCCGTAGTGGTCACCACCCTCAGCATCCAGCTGGATCGCATCATGAAAAAGAGTAGAAAAATCCTGAGAGGCAACAGCATAGTCGATAATTCGCTGCCCCTTGCCCCTCGTGGACGTGTGGGTGATGCCAGGTGGGTGGTAAAAATGTCCATTCCACTTGCGAATCCAAGTGGCCATCTCCAGGGGAGTAGCGTTGAAATCTCCCATGATGATCCAAGGCCCAGCATGATTGTCCAACAGCGCCGAAATAGTGAGAAGCTTTGCGACATTGATGGGTGCTTCCAACCCCACTGAGACAGTCAAATAAG